TTTTGCTTTGTTTAAATATGTAATGCAAATGATGACCTTGGTCACTGAGGAAAACACATTATAGTGATTTTGGCTTCATTCCTTAATACTCACCTGTTGTATCCAGATGGTACCATTGTTTTTATGATCAAAACTATGAAAGAAAACAGAGCTGACTAATATTATTATTCATTACATTTCCTTCCACTTGTGCTTATTTGATCAAACAAAGATGACAGATGGCTTGAAATTATATTCAAATATATAAAACCTTTTTGCCAATATCTTTCTTTTGAAATATAAGTGAACTGCTGATGAAAAAATTCTGTGACAGTGCTCAACATCAGGAACCTTTTTTCATATTTAGTCTGTATATGCTATATCTTTACTTTTTTGTTTTAAAACAAAACTACATGGTGTGAAAATGAAACAAATATCTATTCCTTCCTGTATCCAATTCAGATGAGTTCGATTATTTTAGAAAAATCATTCTTTTTGAGAAGAAAAACTTAGGGCCGGATTTATCAAGATCCAATTTTGCTGGAGCAATTTGCGCTCGCAAACTGGAATTTTGCGCGAGGGGCTGAACCATGGTTTGCGGGTGATTTAACAAGAGCGATTGCGTAACTGGTGGCAGGTGCAAAACTGTTGGAGACGCCCTATTTAAATGATGGTTTTGCGCGTTTTGTAGTTTGCGGCAAAGTAGTTTGTAGTTTGTGCAAACTAGTGCATTAAGAAATTTTAATCTTACAGTGACACCCCCACCCCCTCCAAAAATTTTATATATATATATATATATATATATATATATATATATATATATATATATATATATATATATATATATATATATAAACTTTGGCAACCTTTATTCCCTAAGGTGGTATGTGGCTGAATTTCTACTTCACTGCAGTAAAAAAAAAACAAAAAAACAAAACAAAACAGGTGTTTTGTATTGGCCTGTAGAAAAATGGATGAAATGTGGATGAGATTACTGCGCGTATTCATCCTCGCAGCATTGGCATGTTGCTCCACAGGCGCAGAGGTCGGGGTTCTCCGGTAGTCAGGGCGACATGGCATTTAGAACGTCGGACAGCACTTCTGAAAAACGAGATTGGGAGATTCCAGATGCAAAAAATGCAATGTTGCAAGGAGTTTTGTGATATCTGGTATTGCGTGGGTCCTCCTTGTGCCTGGCTCCAAATTCATTCGGAGTTCCTCCAACAGCTCCAAAATGGCAATGCTGGATAAACGATATGTTTTGATGATCGTTTTCCTCGTTCATTCCAGAGCAGAGAACGCATTTTTCCACGGAGTGAAAAAATGCGTTCTCTGCGTCTCCTTGCTTCATTTCGATGTCTCCTTCTTGCGACAATAACCACTGCCATGTGTGCGCAATTACGCATCAGACCATTTGCACCTTCTTTTGAAACGTGTTAAATATAGAGTCAGATACCGTTAGCAAAATTGCTTTCAGGTTTGATAAATCACTTTGTGAGTGCTAAATTAATATATTTACATGTTCTCCTCCCACAAGACCCACTTTTGCGTGTAAACGCCCCATATTGCATATTCATTGCAGAAAAAGTACTAAATGGATAAGAGGCGCTATTTAGCACGTTTTAAAGACCAAATCCTTTTAGCACGCTGTTGATAGATCAGTTTGTAAATTTTTTAGCGTGCGCAGTGAAATAGCTCACGTTTTTATACACGCAAACCTTTGATAGATCCGGTCCTTAATGTAATAAGAGAATTTAGGCATTTGGAAATGTTCTAATCATAACATTAAATCATTTTAAACCAATTCTGCACACCAATCGGTAAATTAGAAAAAATAAAATATAATCTAAATGTGTTTAACGGTTAAATGCTTTGTATTATGAGATTTCTCGCTAATTTTAAAAATATGTGCTGTTGTTTTGCAATTTTGTATTTTTTCTGTTTTTGCCAATCCACTATATTATATTTTCATGTTAATGGTTGTACTCCTAGTATGTTTCCTGTAGATTTGAAAATGTAAATTTGTCAAATAAAATTATTGATAGATATTCCTCTACAACTTGGTGTCCTGAAATGGAAAAAGTTGTAAACTAATTTTAATTTAAGTCGGTGTGTCTTTTTAGGACTTTTTGTGTGACTTCTGAGGAGGCTGCCAAAGAGAGTTCAGCTGTCACATTCAAGGTTAAGACTAAATCCTGCCAGTAGAACTGATTCCAAACTTCAGGATTCACCATCTGGACTCACACATGCTTCTCAGAGGTTCAACCATTAAACCTGGATCTGAAAATTCTGGAGCCTAGCTACATCTGTCTAAGGAGGATATTTGGAATGAAAGTAAAGCCAAGAGACAAATCCATTGCTGACTATAGACTGCTTTGTTAAGTTGTGATTCACACATAAAAGAGTCATAGACAGTGAAGATAACAAGTTGTCATTTTCCATTCTTGGATAAATGCATTTACTTATTAACCCTAAAGTGATATTATGGAGAACATTTTTATTAGGAGTAGGATAACCTTTAATGTAATGTGTAAGAAATTATAGCTGACTGATTATGGAGGCTCCGCATATTGGACTTTCAACTTAACTGTACTTAACTGTACATAGGAGGAAATGTGGTGTGCTTGGCCACTACATAGCTGCAGCAAAGCTATTAGTTAGCACAGTTTACTTTGACCTGTCAGACAGAGTTTCTCCGGAGCCCTTTACTGATAATTTTCATCACCTGGATAAAATTACTAAATAGGTACCTGCTGCAACTACACATGCACCTTACTCCCTAAATTAAGTGACATTATATTATATTGTTGTTGGATAAAAAAGATACATATGCAACTTCAGTTAAATAAAGGGATGTTGGCGAAGCAATCAGCACTTTGTTTGCCTTTGCAAAGACGAGAACAAGATTATTATAACAACCCTCACAGCTCAAGTCATCAGTCCTGTGCTCGCCCAGACAATTTTCTAAAGACCTGTTGAGGCCTTAACCAAAACCATAGATGTTAAACGATTTTGTTCAACAGATTCTACTTCTTTGTCTAAACATCCCATACACAAAACAGCTCATGTCCATTGTATAGCAATGGCATTCTAAAGTTAATAGTTATCATTATTAAAATGGAGAAACACACCACAATCTCTAAACTCAGCCTTAAGCTAAAAAATTATATATTTTAAACCAAATCACCAAGCAAGAGCTTTGCTGGGAAAACTACAGTTTATAACAAAATACAAAACATTCGAACACCCCATGGGTGTTCACATCACAATGTGATAATGTGTAATCATTTTTATTTATCTGAAGGAAACTAAAAATAAAAAAATAAATCAAATATGCAAACACCTAAAAAAGATTCTTTGTTTTGCTAATTTTAAAAAGGAGAGACTCATACAAAGAGAAAATTGAGCTGAACCTTCCATAATAGCTAGTCTTACCATTTTTGGTTAAAAGAAATTCAGTGTAATAGTTTTGTAGCCATCTTCCAGAACTTTACTGAGCGATGTTTGCCTTATTCCTAAGTTTCAGTCGGAATGTTTTTAGATGTTTCTTGAAAATACAACCCATTTAAATTACCCCGACACATCTCAATAAGATTGAGACCCAGGCTCTAACTTGGCCTGAGATTTGACTTTTCAGACCTGTGTAAATGCAAAGTTATCCAGGTCATGGAAACCACAAAATAGGCTTAAATCGGAGGCAACTGGCCTTTTTACTCAGTTTTATGAAACTGTTTTGACACCTACTCAGGAGTCTTTGTCACTTATGTTGGCTCGCACTAGAGAAACCTGTAGTTGGAGCACTGATGTTTTTAAGAACCACTATCATCCTGAGCTCAGTCCAAGTCAGAGGCAAATCAGACAACATCAAGTGACAGGTGGGTCTTTAATTCACATCTGACTGGCTTGACAAGAACTTAAATTGGTTTTCACCAGGGAATGTATGAAAAAAGTTGTGTGTATATATATATATATATATATATATATATATATATATATATATATATATATATATATATATATATATATATATATATATATATATATATATATATATATATATATATATATATATATATATATATATATATGTCTACTGATTGCTAACACTTTATAAAAGCCTCAGGCTTTCTCTGACTCCCCCTCTCAATCTGACTTTTTTGCCTTCATTATACTGCAATTAATAAGTGCTCTTGCCTTTTCAGGTTTGTGTTTGATCTCTCCCATGTCTCATGCCTTTGCATCTCCTATACCTTTTGTTTTTGTCTTTGTTGTTGTAGAGCCCTGCCTCCTATTTCCTACTCCTCAGCTGTCTTACTTTCTGTTATACCTCAGGCAAAGTATATTTCCGCTTTAATAAATTGACAAAAATAGGTCAACTAGTAAAATACATTGTATTTGCCTTCCCTCTCATTTTCTGTTATCACATGCTGTTCCCAGTTTTACTTGATGCCAGAGTACTCCTCCACCTCCAATTTTCGCCCCTTTGTAACACTATGCTTTCATCTCAGATGGTTACACATTCAATCTCAGTGCTCTCTTGCTCATAGATGCCTTCAGACCAACATCCTACACTTTGAGGCTTCGCTCCATGTGCTAAAGGCAGCATTGCCACTTTAGAAGACTGCAGGAGATTTACTGAACTTTCCCAAGTTTGGTTTGACACCTTCTTTCACTTGTGTCCAGATAAAGAAATGTTTAGCTCACCCATACCCTGCAATGTGCCTTAACATTGCTCGTAAAAAATACACCTTCACGTGTAATTGTGCTGAAAATATTTTTCCAAACTTCTTTGAAATTGTTGTATTGAAAATTCTTTATATTTAATCATATTATTCATATTTGACTGAGCACAGCAGGATCCCAGCTGTGTGGGGATTGTGTGTTTCTCTTTCTGTTTTAACAGGAACAAATATGGATTGATAAAAATTATAAATCATCTGATTCTACAAGTAGAGATTGAATTATTTGCATTTTATTTGATTAATTAATTTCCCCTGTCATTTGTTGTGTATATTTTCCAGGATGGTTGAATACTCTCTGGATTTGCAGAACATCAACTTTACAGCCATCAGAACTGTGAGGGTGCTGCGGCCTCTCAAGGCGATTAACAGGGTGCCAAGTAAGTTACATAATCCTTCCAGACTCAACTTTTGATTATATGTAGCAAAAATATTCTAAGAATTTGGTGATGTTCATCATAGCCTCTTCCCATTTTGATCATTTGGAGTTTGTTTGTTTTGTACTTTTTGTTTGGTATTTGTTTGTTTGTTTTGTTTCTCCGTTGCACAAAGGAGGAACCGCCCCAAAATCTTTAAAAAGAAAGTTTGTAGAGCTAATTGGGAAATATAGCTTTTTGCTGCTTTTAAAACCAACAATGTATTTTTTATGCACCAGTCATAGAATTCTGTATGACTAATTATAATACTTTTATGAATATTTATTTTTATTTTAGAAGGTTTACTCAAATTATATTTCTTGTGGTCTTTTAATGGTTTCTTATCCTCGTGGTTAATGGCAAACAGATTCAAATTCTAAACAGGGCTAAAATAAAGGGAGTGTATTTTAAAAATGTACCTCCAAAAAAAGAGAAAAAAAGTTAAATTTTGAACTAGATTTGTTCACAAAATTAAAGAAAATGTTATTTATGTTATAATGCACATTTAATACTGCAGAGTAGTATTTATACCTTCTTTATTTAGATGATAAGATTAATAAATGTGTCACTAAAATGCTAAAAGGGCATTTAGAAAATACATTATTAAAGAAAATTATTACATTATAATCTATGGCTTCTGTCCAACTACATTTAAGATAGTTAGTGAAATGAGTTAATCAAATTACATTGTTTTCTTTAACCATAATGGTAAGATTGTTAAATAAACATGAAATGGAACAAAAATCCCATATAAATAAATAGTTCATTTAACAACATTCAACCTGTCTTTTATGTTATCAGGCACAAGTTTGTTGAGTCTCATAACAAGCAACAGCTACAAAGATGTATGTTCTAGACAAACTATTGTTTCTGATAAGTGAAGAATATAGTAACTTGTTCTATTGTTGTTAAAAATACTGCAAGGTAACTTTTGAAACATGTTACACACTTAAAAATTTGTTTTTTCAATTGTCTTTTGGCAGTTTCCTTTTTTATAAACCAGCGATTAAAGAGTTTGATATAAGCAAAACAGGCTCAACTGACATTGTGTTACATCATTACTAATGCTGGAGAGAATCCTACAAAGCCCATCCTGAAAGGCATTGCTGTCTTGACTGTAATTTAGCTTTTAATGTGATTGAATGTTGTGTTTATGAACTATAATCTGAGATTTTACACAAAGCGTAAAACTAAATCAAGGGAAAAAACTTGTTAAACTTTGAGATCACATCTAACTTTGTCATTGTTAACGATTCTATGTTACAGAGCTGTTTTACTCTGTCTTAGAACACTTATTGCAGAGAAATAATCACATCTTAAAAATGCAATTAAAGTTTGAAATCCATAAAAAATTACCATTGACAGAAAATACCATGCAATTATTAGAAGTGCTTTGGTTCTTTTAAAAGTTGATATTTCAATTCCACAGGTGCTGTTATGTGTGTCTGCTTTAGTTCTTTTTTTTTATGATTGCTGTATTTTCTCAATGCTAATGTGACTAAATTGTGCTTGGCAGGCAATCATTCTAAGAGGCTATGAGTACTCTCTAAGTTGAATATACTGGTACTTATAGTTCATGTTTTGCCTCCCCTGTAATTCCTTGCTGTTCACCAACCTGTGCTCAGAAATCTAGAGAAGAAATAAAGCTTTATGATGTTTTACTTCCATAAAAGTAAAAGATGCCAGTAAGTTTAGTGAAACAGAGATTTTTATTTGTATGTGTTCCAAATCATGCTGTTTGTGACTTAGTAGTAGTTTCTTTTACTAAATTGTTTTTAATTTAAATTTTCTTTCTTTTCATGACATTCTATGTATCTTTTTGTATTAAGAAATTTCTTATTTTCATCAACATATATCAACATTTAGCAACATTTAAATTGTTACTTCCCTCCTAACAGGGTAATGGTTCACTAGAAATTATGTTTATAATCCAATTACATTTGTATGATTATCAAGCATGCAATGGTGAAGTGTTGGTCAAGAGGTTTTAATGAGCCAGCCCAAAGTCAGAAGATGTTTTAATGAGACTTGGTCCTTTGGCTTACAATGTTTAAAAACAACAACATATAAGTGTTTTAGCCCACCAGTCGAATACTTGTTATACTATCCAGCTCTTCCTTAAAATAAAAAGTAAAATTGCAAATGTAACTAAAACAAACTGCATTAATGCAGGAAATACAGCACAATATTAATAAACAGAAACCTGAAGTCCATTTCTGAGTTTTTTCCCCCCCCTTGATTTTCTTGCATTTTGTCTACACTCACTGGCCACTTTATTAGGTACACCTGTCCAACTGCTCGTTAACACTTAATTTCTAAGCAGCCGATCACATGGCGGCAACTCAGTGCATTTAGGCATGTAGACATGGTCAAGACAATCTCCTGCAGTTCAAACCGAGCCTCAGTATGGGGAAGAAAGGTGATTTGAGTGACTTTGAACGTGGCATGATTGTTGGTGCCAGAAGGGCTGGTCTGAGTATTTCAGAAACTGCTGATCTACTGGGATTTTCACGCACAACCATCTCTAGGGTTTACAGAGAATGGTCCGAAAAAGAAAAAACATCCAGTGAGCAGCAGTTCTGTGGGCGGAAATGCCTTGTTGATGCCAGAGGTCAGAGGAGAATGGCCAGACTGGTTGGAGCTGATAGAAGGGCAACAGTGACTCAAATAACCACCCGTTACAACCAAGGTGGGCAGAAGAGCATCTCTGAACGCACAGTACGTCGAACTTTGAGGCAGATGGGCTACAGCAGCAGAAGACCACACCGGATGCCACTCCTTTCAGCTAAGAACAGGAAACTGAGGCTACAATTTGCACAAGCTCATCGAAATTGGACAATAGAAGATTGGAAAATGTTGCCTGATCTGATGAGTCTCGATTTCTGCTGCGACATTCGGATGGTAGGGTCAGAATTTGGCGTCTACAACATGAAAGCATGGATCCATCCTGCCTTGTATCGACGGTTCAGGCTGGTGGTGGTGGTGTCATGGGGTGGGGAATATTTTCTTGGCACTCTTTGGGCCCCTTGGCACCAATTGAGCATCGTTGCAACGCCACAGCCTACCTGAGTATTGTTGCTGACCATGTCCATCCCTTTATGACCACAATGTACCCAACTTCTGATGGCTACTTTCAGCAGGATAATGCGCCATGTCATAAAGCTTGAATCATCTCAGACTGGTTTCTTGAACATGACAATGAGTTCACTGTACTCAAATGGCCTCCACAGTCACCAGATCTCAATCCAATAGAGCATCTTTGGGATGTGGTGGAACGGGAGATTCGCATCATGGATGTGCAGCCGACAAATCTGCGGCAACTGTGTGATGCCATCATGTCAATATGGACCAAACTCCCTGAGGAATGCTTCCAGCACCTTGTTGAATCTATGCCACCAAGAATTGAGGCAGTTCTGAAGGCAAAAGGGGGTCCAACCCGTTACTAGCATGGGGTACCTAATAAAGTGGCCGGTGAGTGTATCTTTAAAGTAATTTGGGAAATATGTTAATCTGGTGTCCTAAACCATGTTTGTTTGAATAGGAGATGATCAGTGTTATGCTCTTCATGTCACCTCTCTTGCGACCTAATGTTATGCATGATCACTTGCACAAGAAAAGCTCTCTAATAGTAACGCATTACACTTCTTCCTCATTTGAGATTTGCTTCATTTCCCTTCTCCTCCTTCCCACAACACAGATAGAGTTGCCCCTTTATTCCTCTCAGAATAGTTCGTTCCATGGAAAGAAGAACAAAAAAATATTAACTACACTAATGATCCTGCACTTTGGAATATGTATTCTGGAGTCAAGAAGCCTGCGTTCAACAGAGGAGAGGGCATAATGATAACCTGATATACTCATGTGATATTTATGTTTTCTCATTACGTGTCTTGATCGAAACATGTTTAAATAGGCTTGGCTTTAGGCCAGATTAGAGGTTTTATGTTCACATTAAAGGAATGAGAGAATGGCATAGTCTATACTGTGTATATATATGCAAGAAGTGAATAAGCAATTATTGTTAAGCAGAGGTATGAGGTTACTTTTGGCCTTATTTCAATAAGAACACAGGTTATTGAAACCTTTGCACAAAGGAAAAATTGGAAGGTTGAGAGACGACAAGTCAGCAAGAAAGATAAATGGGGTTGGGAAGATGGGATTATCAAGCTCCATGAAGGATAGGTGAAGATGAAGGAAAGGTTGGGGAAGATGATGAGAGGAGAGATGCAGGGGAACCCTCGTGAACAGCCCATTACAATGACAGATAGGAGCAAGGAAGTGCAAGGAATGGATAGAGTCATCTGTTGAATAGAGATAAAGAAAGCAAGGGACAAAGAGGACAAAGAAAGGGTATGCGAGGAATGATAAAGTGATTATGGATGATAGATATTACATGATAACAACATTACCTGTTTTTATTACAAGGGGATTTGTAAGAAGTCGTGTTACAATGTGTAGTCACAAGACAACATTGTAACTCAACACAACGAACCTATATGCAGAGTAATTTTTGTAATTTATTTAAAATGTTGAGTTTTGCTTTGTGACCTTGAATCAATAGATGAGACGAAGCACACTTTGAAATTCTAATGCTATGTTCAGACCACACGTGCTAGATGAAGCAGTAGCAGCTAGTTTACATGCACAGTCAATGGTTGACGCAAATCAAGGAGCAGCACAAGGTCCTGCTGCGCTTTTTGAGCAGAAGGAGCAGCGCGTTTTAGCATCTGATGCGCGGTACGTGCTGCAAAAGCAGCAGCTGCTGGAGTTGGAAAAATTTAATTTTTAGCTGCTTGAAACGCCCCAACCACCAATCGAAGAAGCTGATCTGGGAGCTGGCAGGGAGACACACACAGCACTGCTAATGCAGATTGCTATGATCACTCCTCTGAAACAGTTTATTAACGCCTATTTTAACTGAAAATATCTAAACATGCCGGCAAAATACGTTTGATTATTTTGGT